GTCGTAACCCGAAAAGTTCGTTAGTAGAGGCGTTCGTATCCCGAGGTACCACTGTATTGTGAACAGGTATAGAATTGTGAATGGGGTCACAAAATGGCCGATGTAGTAGGTATGGTCAGTCACAATCCACCTATTAACAGAAGATAAATTAGTGCTGATTCTGCTCATCAACCTCTCTGGCTCCCAGGATATTACTTACTATCTCTACTTACTTTTCTATTTTTCTGGACGGGGGGCTTTCTTTCAAACCAAGCCCCAGCACCAGCCACTCATCATTTGTCTAAGATGCCTCTTCAGCAAGACAGAGATATTCTAGGAAATAAAAATTATATCAAATGTGATGCTGATTTGCAATAAGCCATCTTTCCATTAAAAAATGAAGATCCAGTGCCACTTAAAAGAGTTACAGTAAGAAGCTTGATTGATGCCCTGTAGCATTGAATGCAATTTTCTTTCTCTTAGGCAGTTTGAAAGACTGCATCAGTGTGTACATTTGTTGGAATTATAGCTGAATTAATATTAAACAGGGCCCTTTGTATCCCGCCCACCTCAGAACAATTATGAAAATGAATTATAATTCACCTAATAGCCCTATTGAAGATAAATGAGGGAATTTAGCCAACGTAGAATTCAAGCTAGCACATGCCACTTCGCTGTGACAGCAGGTTTAGCAAACTGAGTTTAATGCCACTGCCAGCACAGGTGAGTGTTATTAGGATGGTAATTGATTTAAGACCTTACTGATTTTGCCCTGAATAAAAGAAAGGAAACAAAAAAAGAAAAGGTAAAATGAGTTTATGATGAACTTTACAAAAGGCAACAGAGAGAACAGTGTTTGCCTTGCAGGTGCAGAACAGTGTTTATCTGCCACCCTCAGCAATAAAAAATTTTTTATACCTCCCCCCTCCAAATTAGGGTCACATTAAAAAGACTCTCAGATACCATGCCATCAGAAATCAGGTACTGGACATATTTCTGCATAGGCTGAAAAACAACCCTGTCCACAGTCCAGAACTCCAAGGTCACACTTAGCCTGCAAAAGCTTGACTCCAGCTTCACATTCATAAAGCTGCTATTAAATTAGGAATTCCGATAAGACAGAAGTAGAATATTATTACATTCTTAGGGATTAATTCTATTAACTGTATTAAATTAATTTACATAGGAATTAGACTGAGTTCCATGTAAGTCCCACCCATGTGGGCATTGAGCTCCAGTGTTCAAAGACCAAGTGACAAACAAGCAAACGAAATATACCTTGGTCTATAAGCCATGGCTAAAATGGACTCTTTTGGAGAATTATGACTATCCTTAAGAATGGGCAATCTTTTGATAGCTGGGGAGGAGCACATTTCATTTAAGCCTTGATTTGTTTAGCTAGCCAAGGACTGCAGTGGACAGCATCATGGTCAGGGGTGTCTCCAGTGGTTGCCCAGAGAAAGTCAAGAAAGCAGCTGCGATTGTACAACTGAATCCCTGTCCCTTTATGTTCGGATTTTCTCATGGGAAGGATTCATCTCGTTACCTGCAAAACAGTATTGTTATGGCTAAGCAAACCATGTGTAGTTTTTTAATTTGCACGTATACTGCTATGTACTGCCACCTATTGGCGTGTGTATGCTAGTTACCCAGTGGGGGGGGGGGTACATATTGGCAATATAATGGGGGGATTATATGTTCAGCCTCTCAGTAGAGTTTTAGCCACCATGTAGTCAGTTTTTATGGGTTATGTAGTTGTAACCAATAACTAAGTAGTGTACCTCTTCTCTGAGAGTTTTTGGCTAGAGACTTTGTTAAGCTTGTGTAGTAGATAAGTCTTGGATGCGAAAATACATGAGAAGATGTGTTTTTTCCTATATTTTGTATGAAACTTGTATTTTATGGAGTTTTGCATTTTTTATCAGTAAACCAGATAGTATATATTTTCTGGCTGGATTTCTTTGGAGAACAAGATATGGACATTGCATTTTGAAAATCTCTCATGCTGATGTGTATCTTTCCTTGGCAACTTTCCTGGAAGTATTGCTGCACTCTGCACAACAGGAGTATTGCTGCACTCTGCTCAACACTTTAATGTGTGTCACACACGTAAAGGAGTGGGGCTTGGATTACATGGTGCCATATTGGTTTTCTGATCCCCCCATATTGACTTTTTTTGACAACCTCCCTCTTACCCCACAGATGCTCCTGGCCTCTAGCACACTACCAGAATAAATTAGTCACCTCTATGTTTCCTGCCTGGGCGAATGTAAATACAGTGAGGAATGTAGGGTGTAGCAAGCACGCAGAATTTTATTTTCTCTTGTCGCAAGTGGGGCCAGGATTTTCACATGAAGTTTAGCTTTCTTTCAAATTATTGGGTTTTTATTTTGTTGTGGAAAGCTACACGAAGCATATATACCTGCTTTAGTTGTTTTCCATTTTTTTTTAAAAAAAGGAAATTCAGCTTCTTTTTATTGGTGATTTCTCATTACTGCAAGAAACATGTTTGTTCACTGTTGGTTGTACATCCCTGGTGTAAATGGACACATAAAAATAGATATAATACTGAATGAACATTATAAATTATGTACTCAGTGAGTTGGGGTTAAATCTGAGGCTCACTCGGGCATCCTGCTGTATGTTGTTATCTTGTGTTATATACTAGAGAAAGTTGTGAACTTTATTCTTAGATATATGTAAAACCATTCTGATTTTTTGTTGTTGTTATTTTATCAATCTCATTTCTACCAAGGTTTTGCTGGAAAAGATGTTCCAAATCCCTCTCAAATTTTGCTTCAGGTGCAACTCAGCAGGAAAGGAAAAAATGAAAGCAAACCCTGCACACACATGCACACACACGCATCTCCTTCTCCTGTGAAATCATCACCTTTTAATCAGAATCCTTTTACATTTCTTTTAATTCCCCACAAACCTTTTGTCTGAGCAGGCCTCCCTTGATTCAGATCAGATTAGATTTCATTTTAGGTGAATTTTAGTCATCAATATTAGATAGAAGAGGAAGGCAAAAGTAGAGGAAACCATATTTCTTTATCTGAAGGCTCCCATTAATTTCTATTTTTTCTGCTTTTTTATTTAACAAAAAGAAGCAAAAACTGCAGTTCCTAAAGCAAATATAATTAGAAAAACATGTACATTTTATGTTTCCTGCCTGGGCTGTTATAGATGTGGTGAAGAATGGAGTCTGTGGCAAGCATTCAGAATTTTATTTTATTTCATTTTGTTGCACCCTGCAGCACTCAGAAATCTTTGCTACTTTCCCATCATATATAATTTTTCTAACTCTTGTTTACAACTTGATGTAGCACCATGTAGGAGCTTTGCTTGTAGGACATGTAGGACAGCAACCTGAGTCTTCCAGGTATGC